ACCCCAGAACTCAATCCACATCTCTTTTCTCATTTAATGATACACGTATATTGGAAACCTTCTTTCTAAGTCATGAATATATTTTTTTGCTTAGAATATTTCTTGCATTATTTTTCAAGTGGATTCCCCCAGGGAGAAAAACAGTTTGGAAACACATATAAGAAGTGAATCTCTGCTCTTCTCTGCTGCGAAGTCCCTCACTTTGTGACCCACTCTCTCCTCCAGGCAGTGACCATGGCTGCTGCCAGTTTCAGGCTCAGGGCTACCCCTCCACCATCAAAGAGGAAGGGAGTCTAACCCCTCAGCTCTGTTTCCAAGAATCCCACACACGAACATCAGCACCTTGAAGTTATTCTGAGTTTGCCTTTCCTGCCAATTTAGGTTAATCTACTTATCCTGAATTCTGCTGGAGAAAAGGACATAAATGCAGGAACTGTCTCTATTATACACTGATTATTTTCAACCAAGGCAGGCCCTCTCACTGCCTCCCTACATCTTCCACAAAATTACCTTGCTTTTGAGAGGGCTTCTTTGGACACTAATAGATTGGGCTGTTTACACGATTCCATCATTGCTTTTTAGACTTTAACAATCTACCTTTCCTATTAGTCATACAGATTTACCTCGTTCTCTTTTAAGAGTATCTATTATTAAATAGTAGTGCTATATTTAACCATTCTATTGATGGAATGGCTTTTTTACTAATGGCTTTGTAATTGTTAAATACAATGGCCACTTTTCCATCTTAATCCTACTGGCTTTCTGACACTCTTAATGACCTCTTTTCCCCCTCCCCTCCAAACTCTTTCCTGGGCACCTCCCTCCCTTCCTGTTCTCTCCTACGTTGCTCCTCATTCTTAGTCTCTTGATCTGGCTTCTCCTGGACACTCTGCCTCTTACAGGTTTCTACCCGTAACAGTAATTTTTAAATTATCCCCATTTTTATTGGGCATCCCTATCCATCCACCCCCAAACATCAGATCTCTTTCTACCTGCTGATGATTTCTAAATATATTCAATCACTCTCCTGAAATCTAAATATGAATTTAAAGTTGCTTACAATGCATCCTGCCCTGTAGGCCCTATGGTCAGTCACTACAGACTTGATCTGTCCAGAACTGAACTTATTTCCCTTTCATATTTTCATCTCCCTCACCCCAACCCCAGGCCTGACCATCTTCTCCATGGCAACTGGGGTGGCTTTATTTAAATTCAATTTTCACTGAATTTATTAGGGTGGCATTGGTTAATAAAATTATATAGATTTTCAGGTGTATAATTTTATAATACATCATCTGTATATTGTACTGTGTGTTCACCACCCCAAGTCAATTCTCCTTCCACAGAGTGACATTTTTATATATGTGTTTGTTTGTTTTTAGAGAGAGGAAGGGAGGGGGAGATGGAGCCCAAAACCATGGAGCATGTGCCCTGACCAGGAATTGAACCTACGACCTTTTGGTTCATGGATTGACACTCAACCACAGAGCCACACCAACCGGGCCAGAGTGACATTTTTAAAACATAAGTTGGGTGTAAAATTTCTTCTCAGGATGTAATGATTTCTTAGCACTTGGCATGTGCTGTCTTGAGTACTCTGCTTCAGAGTCTTCCCATGGCTACCTCTTGCTTACACTTCAGATGGTGGCTCAAACGTCAAGGAAAAAGAGGCCGCCCTGACCACCTGAGCAAAAACAGTGCTCCCCAGCCTCCTCCAGTCACCATCTCTTTGTTCTCCTCTTTCGTTCTCATTGCACTAACTGAAGCTATCTCCTTTATGTATTTGCTTTCATACTGCCTGCCTGTGTCCTTTCTCTAGAATGTAAGCTCCATGAAGACAGGGTTTGGTCCTGTTCTCTGCTGTATCCCTAGAGCCTAGAACTCCACCTGGAACCCAGCGGGACAGTGAACGTATGTAGATGCCTAAACAAATGAACTGCAGCTCTTTTAAGAGCCAAAGCCCTCCTGTTAAATTAAGAACCGAGGAACACATTTCAACTGCTGGGGTCCAATCCCAGCGGGTTCAGGGGTCCCCAAAGGTGTGGACGGAGTCGGCGAAGAAGGAATGACACGAAGACAGCCTTCAGTTGATCAGCAGCCTAGTCAGGACCTCTAGCCAGGATCTCCAGCCAAAGTTCTGGTCGGAGTTCTGGTTAGGAACTGACGAGGATCTGATGAGGATCTGATGTTTATTGTCTTGTTACATCCGTATTTATACCAGCCGATTTTAATCCTGTCAATTTCTATTACAAAGGTTAGGGCGTTTCTTATCTCCATTCCAGGGAGTAAAGATTATGTAGTTTAACTACCCGCCTGGCACTTAATTAAGGGGTTGTATCTCCTCCCTAACCTCAGGGAAAAATCCCCACCTGGGGAAACAACCTTTCTCGGAGAGGTGACCTTGGTTAAAACACATAGTGCTAAGGGGAGCAAACATATTAAGAACAGTATGCCATCTACGCCAGGTCCCTTGAAACATATGCTGTGCAGATGTTTCTTCTCTGCAGGGACTGTGTCAAGCCGCAAGGATGTACCGGCTCCCGGCATTCAACCTGAATAGTTCTATTTGAGCGTGAGGTGTTTCCTTCCCGCTCACTCACGGAATCCACTCATAATCACAGGTATTTGTGAATTACAAGGTAATCTCTTAAAAAAGTAATCTTAATGTAGTACACTGGCTCCACCGGCCACCCTCACCACGTTTTCCATTAAACCTGACACAGTCATAACCACTGCCTCCTACAGAAATCATTCTCCATGGGAGGCGCGGGCAGACGCCAGTGGCCACAGGGCAGAACTCGATTTGATTCAGGACACTGAAAAGAGGGGTGCCCTCTGGTTGACTCCTGGAGGGATTGTCTGGGATACAGAGGCTCTGGGCTGGGAACCCACCATCCCACGTCCTCCTCTCGGGCACAGTACCGCATATTTGACATATAAACTCTCCAGATCACTCGCGGGGCCTCGCGTGCTGAGTCCCTTCTGCAGACGAGGTACCTGAAGCTCGAGAGGCACTCGCTTGCCCGGAGCTTGGGCAGAGACCCCACAGCGAGGGTCCCCGCGCAGGTTGCAAAGCTCAAACGTCACCAGAGCTACTTTATGTCCCAGCTGCCGCGGAGAACCCTCAGTGTCCTGTGGAAGACAAAGCGAGAGGGCCGGGCTGGAGAGCTCAGGAGGCGGCACAAGAGGAAGAAGGTCCCCACGGGTGGCCGCGGGGGTCTTCACAGACGCCCCCTCCCAGGGGTGACTCGTGGCGGCTGGCAGAAGTGGGGACCCGGCGGGACACAGGCTTACCGCCGGAGTAGCGGATTCCGGGCCGGGGCCAGGGTGGGGGACAGAGGGGAGACACAGAACACCGGGTGGCGGGATGTTGAGTGTTTGATCAGATTGCGCGCCAGGAGCGGGGAGCCGGGTTTAAGGATGGAAGCGATCCCGGCCGCGAGGGAAGAACAAAGCCGTGGCCCGAGCTCACCCGAACGCACTTCAAGCCTTGAGTGTAAGAGGAGGGCGCCAAGAAGGGAGGAGAGAGGAGTGCGCGACTCGGCCCGAAATCCACCGGGAGTTTGCCTTTACCACTACGCCTCGCCCGTGGCCTGGCGCCGCTTCACTGCTCCCGGCCATGTTTCTCCCGGGAAAAGTGGGGAGGGAAGGACCGGGGAGGGGTCGGGGTGGGCCCTGGAGGTGGGGCTGGGGTCGCCCCGCCCCGGCACGGGACAGCTGGCGGAACGGAGCGCGCGCACGGACCCGGGGCCTGGCCGCGCTCCAGCGTCTCTGCTTCGGCACCCCAGCCCCGATCTCCTCCCTCGACGGGTCTGGGGGGCGGAGGTGCGGAGCCCGGAACCGGGCGTGGGGGCGCGGGGAGCAGCCGCGGAGCAGTGCTCGCTTCAGCGGAGCGCAGCCACCTGGGGGGTCCCTGGATGCAGCAGCCGCGGTCGCCGCGGGTCTGCGAGCCCCGGACCCCGCCTGGTCCGCGCCCCTCTGAGACTCGGGAGATCTAGGCTGAGGCTGCAGGCGGCTCGATTTTTACTGGAAGAGAAAGTGGTTCCTTGTCCCCAAGTCTGCCGTCCCAGCTCCGGGCTAACAATGCCCTTGCTAGTTTTTATGCGCTTTTCATCCCAAATAAATACACGAAGGAGCCTGCGTTCTAGGACGTAATCGAAGTAGGGCTGTGCAGGAAACTCTCTGGAAATGTTTTCTACATCCTCGAACCGCCAAGCCAGGGGTCTGAAATAGCCACGCGATTGCTTTTACCTAGGACCGCGCCGCGGTTAAGGCGCGGACTTTGAGATAGGACCTCTCCTTTACATCATTCGGCAAGGGCGCGGGGGAGGGGGGGCGGGGGAGATGGGGAGAGATTTTTACAAATTATCTGCTTTACCATTTTTTGTAAAAACATACGGTTAGATTTTGAGTGTTTCAGGTTGCAGTTTAAAGCAATCACTCTCCTCAGGTGAGAAATCCTCTTACGAATGATTCAACCCCTAACCCCAGCCTTCCCCACCGGATGCTCAGGGTCTTTGTCCATTTCTCAAGGGCCCTGCTTGCCCCGTTACATATGTGTTCATTCTCCCCGTTATATGTGTGTTCATTCTCCCCGTTATATGTGTGTTCATTCTCCCCGTTATATGTGTGTTCATTCTCAGGCCTGTGCTATCCTGCCCCGCCCTTTACCGCCCTGCGATGGGTGTGAAGCCCTGGGTTGAATACAGCTTTCTGACTCCCCCCTCTCTAAAAACAGTTTTGTTTATCTTGGGGTTCTGGCACACGGCAGAGGGAGGAATGCTGATTTTGCCTGGTTTGGGGCAAATTGTTATCAATCAGCTAATGTCGCTCTAGGTTGGAAAAATAGTCCTTCAGACGTGGTCCCCGGCTCTCTTAAAGGCCTGCGCAGTGGAAGGAAGGCAGCACCTTGGATGGCTCCGATTAGACACCACGCTGGTCCACCGGCGCCCATTAAACTGGGTGCTATTGTTGCCTAGTGCACAGGTAAACATTTCCATAAGAATTGTCAGAGGTCCTTGTTTGGGGCCACTTTAGCCTTCTTTTCACCTCTTTTCCCAAAGGCAAAGGACCATCTTCTATGTTCATTGTCAACGACCAAGCCCAGGAACCAGCTTTACAGTCAATGTGAGTAAAACTTCCAGAAATGAGAAGTGCTGTCACTGTTCTGATGATCAGACTTCAGGGTTCCTAAGACTCGGCCAGCCAGCACCCTACCTGCTCCTGCTAGTGGGATTCAGGAGTCTGCATTGCTGAGACACTCAGGTGAGTGTGATTCAGGTGGTCGAGGAGCCACCCCTTTATAGCCTCTTATTCCTGCAAAATCAAACTTGCCCATAGGATGCTGGTGTGAGTGATTGGGCCAGATTAGGGGCGTGGGGCTTCAAAATAAGTTACAGGCCCTAACCGGTTTGGCTCAGTGGATAGAGCGTCGGCCTGCAGACTGAAAGGTCCCAGGTTCGATTCCGGTCAAGGGCATGTACCTTGGTTGTGGGCACATCCCCAGTAGGAGGTGTGCAGGAGGCAGCTGATCGATGTTTCTCTCTCATCAATGTTTCTAACTCTCTATCCTTCTCCCTTCCTCTCTGTAAAAAATCAATAAAATATATATGTAAGTTACAGATGTAGCTGCTCTCCAGAAGTCAAGTAGCAACAACTGTGCATCCAGCCCAGGCACTGTGGAAGATGTAAGGGAAATGGTAAATGACTTTTCTTCCCTTAGAATGACCATTAATAATGTAAAACCCAATAGGTTCACAATGAAAAATATGTAACTTGCTTGGATGACAACAGGACTCTTATGAATGCACACTCAAGAATGTCATATAGAGACCCATATAGGAATGCCTATGAATACTACAGAATGATGAACAAATTGTTTTTAAAATTTGAATTCATTTTATTATATTTTTATATGTTGATAACATGTTATAATTTAATTACACTTCTATACTTTGAGTAGCATTACTATAATAATATTAATACTTGATGTCACAAATAATATTTTCAAGGACCAATACCCAAGAATAACAACTCATTTGTTCAGGATTAATTCTTTTAAAAATATGTATATTTTTATTGTTTTCAGAGAGGAAGGGAAAGGGAGAGAGAGATAGAAACATCAATGATGAGAGAGAATCATTCATTGATGGCTGCTTCCTGCACAATTCCTACTGGGGATCGAGCCCGCAACCCAGGAATTGAACCATGACCTCCTGGTTCATAGGTGGATGCTCAATCACTGAGCCACACTGGTCGGGCAAGGCAAAATTCTTTTTAAATCTCAAATTGTTGTTACATGTCTAGTGGAATAACTTGCAGTAGGATTCCAATTTTTTCTAGTAATAATTCATATATGACCGTAGCCAATGAGGCTAAGCCAGTTACATCAATATAATATACCTCAGTGTTCTCATCTGTAAGAGGGGGCAATACATTTCTGTTTTATTGCATATGATGATGAGATTAACATGAGATTACATGCAAGAGAATTCTTTCAAAAATGCTATAAAACTGTAAGGTGTTATTAATCTGAGATGCTGTGAAAATGTATGACCAAATGTTTGTAAAGTCATTTAATGAGAAAATGACAGTAATTGCCTTTTAAAGATGGGTGTAGGGTGACCAATCAGGGACAAGCTGAGGCTAGTAAGAGAATGGATACAGTGAAATGAGAAAATTACTAAAGTAATGGAATTTTCCATAAAATAAGATATTTTAGCTCAGCCATCTTCTGATATTCCTTTGAAGAAGCTGTAAGAATAAAGACATACATCTTTACAAAGTTAATAACCAGTAAATATAATTGCATTTTTCTGTCATTCTCTTTATCCCCTTTTTAGTTGTTAGTTCCCAGCATTTTAAATTCTGAAGTTATCTTGTGCCAGTACCATGGTGAAAACACAAATATTTATATTTACCCAAATTCTTCCCCAGGCCAAAGACTTTTGTCCTGGAAGTATATGCTAATCTTTTGACAGTTTGGTATTGACTTTAGCCAATCCTAAAGGCATAATTCAATCTATGCTCTTAGTTGCTCAGAGCAAGTCACTTACTGACACTAGATTCCAAATACAGAAGGGCATTTCATTCTTTCTGAGTCCTGAAACATGAAAATAAATTTAAAAGAAAAGAAACCTCTCAGTCTGAGAATTGTGTTGAAATACATAAACATATGAAACTTAGTGACTCAGATTGTTAGCCACAGAGTCACTGGTTAGGCTGGATGAGAGCCACTGTGGACAAAGGCCAGTCATAAGGATGATGATATTTTGCTTTTCTTTAGTGCTGAACAAAACCCTTTACAAATGTTACAAGAACAAAAGAAAAAGTGGAAGACACTTTCTTCCAAATGTTCAGGGTAAGTAAGAATCTTGCTACCTTTGAAGTATTTTTCCTCCTAAATACAGAAGAACTCTAGTTGCGAATAATTGTAATACAGAGCAACTTAAGCAAAAGCCTCATTAGTATTCAATTAGCATAGTAAGCCCTCTTTCCTGGCCTCTTATTTGAAGCAGATTGAATCCAATGTGTAGTTTTAGAGTAAAGAAAACAATGGCTCCATAGTAGTTCTTACAAACAAAGCCAGGAACTACATTCAGAATCATATTTTGTATTACTACACTTTCATTAGGAATTAACCTTCCACCAAAGAATGCACTGTGGGGTAGATTTAAGCTTGTTCTTTTGCAATAATGTCAGGCATGAGTAATATCACCCACAGTAAGTGATGGGCTGCTTCAGAGATATCCTCCCACTATCTCCCCATCTGACCGGAACAGGAATTGGATAGCTTCAGAGCAAAAGAATAATGTGTCCATGTGTTTCTCCAGATCTCAGAGTCCTGGCAGCCAACCTCAACTCTCTTGGCCACCATAAAGCAATCATTGAAGGGACACAGCTGCAGGAACTAGCACTAAATAAATCCACAGGGCTGGAGGCACAAGTCATGTACATGACCCTAACACAATACCTTGTGGTTATGGATGAACGGATTAGCATCTAATGGTCCTGTGGCAGCTTATGCAAAATTAATTGGAGCCTCAGCCAGTGCTGAGTTTCTAATGGAAAGATGTCCACTTAAAAAACACACACAACCACCCCCCCCCACACACACACACACAAAAGAACAAAACACCACCAAAAATCCCCACAACAATAATAACAAAATCCAAGAGTCCTCCTTAGTTGACAAAGACTTTGGCTGGTGTTGTGGGGGAGACTAAAGACCAATGGGAATGGGAAGTGAACTGTTTATTAGTGGTACATGAATTCTCTTCAGATCAGAGTTGATGTACAATATCCCAGGAACTGATCGAGTTATTGCCATGCTCTTGGCTTATTTTAGAGTTGTGGTTGGGGGAGCTTGGGGAAGAGGTTGGGGAAATGTGTCTTGAAGTCTAGAGTTGTCTCACATGGGGAAAGAGACTAAGGAAGGAAATCTAAGAACAACATTTCTCAAAACGCGTTTTGATTCACTTTTGTTTATATTTGAAGAAGATGTTGTGATTCACTAAGTTTGAGAAACAATGAGGTAAGTTAAACACACACACATGGTTGTAGAACTTCTAGAAGCCTTTAATATGCCAATGTGCACTATCAGTAATCAGGAAGACTGGCTA